TTGATATATGAATGAATGTTTAGATACAATTTTATCACTACGTTCTTATAAAATCAATATCACCGTAGATAAAAATCACTTGCAACGATTAATGTCACGTTTAATTCGTGCAGTAATTTATAAACAATTACGCACTGCAAGTGACAATTTCATCTTATATTACATTACAGCAGTTATATTGTTTTCAAGTCAGTCGGTACACGCAATAATATAACCAAAGACATGTACAATCGTAAGTAGTAAAAGTAGGCGATGTCGTATAAAACTCTAAGAATCTACAATCTCGGCGATAAAAGTGAAAGAGTTCTGGCGATTTTCCGGATAAAAATTCTCAAGTTCCACTTAGTTAAAACTTTTTTCTTTCGAAATCCAGAGCTTACTTAAAAGTTTTGGATAACTCTTGAAGAGTTTTATCAAAAAATGCTACGACAGAAATCGACTTTAATTGATATAAAAATATTAACATTATTTTTGTAACGAAAACATAAAATTGACGTTCTGTATTTCCTCAGATTTATATTTTTTGCACTTAATTGCCATTCTTTTTGAAACGCATCAAGAACTTGGAAAGAATCAGAATTCTGTGGATTATCGATATTCCAAAAGCAAAGTGTTAATTTCATAGTAAAGATAGATCAATTCCATGATCGATTTTCGAAGAAACGATGAGGTCAAGATGCCAATTAGGATGGCGAACGAAGATGGAAGGCGGTGGCCGGAAGGCAGAGCGCCGTATTTTCATTTGGCCGGATCGCTCGTCAACCGGCAGTTAATCCTGGTCGAGGGACAAGTCCGGGGATGAACTAGTCGACGCAACGGGATCGTTAGTTTTAATCGTTCGACTGCTATTAGTTCGTGTCATTTTACCCCCGTTTCCCTTCACCAACCGTCCTCCGATCTACTCTCTCGCTTTCTCCGTCGATTCGATCCACCCCCTTGTTCCCTATTGTTGCCTCTTTGTCACTCACTTGTCGCTTCTTCCGCAGCCCATCTTTTCTCTCTCGCTTCGTCGAGTCGGGCTCTTCCTACCTCGTTCGCTCCTTAACTGCGTACTCCCTGGTGCCCGGGCTCAGACGACATTATCGATGGCGGGCATTAAACGTCTTTTGCCTTTTCCACCTCCCTTGCTCGTTGCCATCCCTCCGTGCGACGAACCTCTCAGTCCCTCGTTCTATCCAGCCCGACGCGACGTTCTCGCTGCTGTCGCTTTAACGTGGATTTCCTATCCGGTGGCTTTTGATAACGGCGCCTTGGCAACGTCTTCCATGTTACAACGAAACCGAGACCGAGCGCTGAAAAATGAAGTGACTTGTGTAGCCCGCCCTCGATAAGCAGCGCCCGCTAATAAACGTGATGTTCCCTCCGCTTGCGCTTCAATGAGACTTTTAATCAAGTAAAAAACTGAAAAGCGCCACGATCGATGGTATCCAACTTTCGGCGATTTTTTTTTTTTAATTCAATGACCCGATGAAGCACTGACGAAAAATTCCACAATCGCACAAGGACGAAACCGACGAAACGTTTGACGTTCCTACATTCCGTACAAATAAAATTCGGTGAATGTACATGAATGACGAACAAATGACAAAATCTCGTAAATGAAAAATAAAAAATACGATTCTAACAGAATTGTTCATTGTCACTGAAAGATGATAATAACGACCGTTTGGAATTATTTCCGTTTGGAATAAATAATTCTTTTATTATATTTTTTTATCTTACCTACGGTTAACGAAAATATAAATTTTTAATTAACTGTTTTAAAAATAATTGAATTAATAATTCATATAGAAATATTTTATTATATTTGAAATATATTTGAATTACATTTGAAATTTTATAGTTTGCTTATAAAGCTGATAATTTTATATCGAATGTTTTACTTGACCGTTTGGATTTTTTAAAGATTTCACATCGATCTATATTATTTCTGAATTTCACAAATTATTTTTTTCTCTTATTACGATTATAACTTAGTATGCATAATTTATCAGAGATTTAAATTTATTAGAGATAAAATATCATTAATATACTTTTTTTACTACAGCTGAAGCTCTTCTGAATATCACCAACGTTGCAGTGGACTTAGCTGTTTTAAAACGGTCTCTTACAATTGTGCCAAGTCCTTTGAAAACGTACGTGTGAAAATCCAACCTACGTAGGCGACACTACGTGGCTCAGCTATGGCATTTTAATGCAAATGCACACGGCTCTCATATACTATTACTATACACTACCACCAAAAAGACACCATTTTCGCAATGAGATTCTTCTAATTATATTAACCATTGCATCGGTCACTGACGATGGTTGAATTCAAAAGGTGAATGAGACGTGCAGAGAATGCTATTAAAAGTCAAAGTTAGAAATAATTACATTGAAAATAAGTAAAAAGATCAATGCATATACATCAAATATCAATATATATCGAACTATCGATATGCAATTGATTTTATGTGATTTGGCATTTCTCTCCTTTCTAAAGCTCGCGATAGAATGGAAGAATGGTGTCAAATATTTAACACGTGTAAAAGATTCAGTTCTGTTATCTACGATCCAGTGACTTCACATGTCTATATATACTGCACTCTATACCTTTGCGATCTCTCTAAAGCAGATTCGTGCTATGCAAATAAACATTTGGCAACAATTTTTTATCTCAGACAGCATCACCGAATGTATTCGCAATTTTTCGTCTTATGCAAGACCATTTGTATTGTTTTTTTACATAAGCTTTGCTTATGTACATTGCCTTTCTGGCAATTTGAAAGCTGACTAATGATAGCTGTCGTAAATAGGAAAGCCTTTGTTCTCTCAATATAACTAGGCATAACCAAGGATCGTCCAGGTGGCTCTTAACGTGCTGAGCGTCGAAGCGAAACTTGAGAAGTATTAATCCTGCCCCGAGAGAAGATATCGAGAGCAGCCGGTGCGCGGGAAGAGCCGTGCAGCCAGGAAAATTACACAAGCTAACGCAAGGTAACGGAATCTTAATCTCGTTGGTCCCAGCGCTCTCTTGCTTTGCCGATAAAAAGAAGGAGCGAGACAGCCTGCCCGCGCTTGCCGACGAAGACTTGACAGGGACAGCAGATGGCCATCTCGCAGATTTTCCACCTGGCAACCCCGCGCACCCCTGGGGTGTAATTTCGGTAATTTAATTTCTCGGCTTAATAGAAGATCCGGGATCGTGAAAAGACGAACAGTTAGAACGAAAAGAAACATGGTTAAGAGAAGAAGATGAGAATTACAGCTGGAGAGAGGAAGGCACGAAAGCAGCACGTCCGTTAATACTTTGGGAAAATTACTGTGTCGTTGCTTGCGATAAATTGTACGAGATGTAATAACGAGATCGTAGATGTAATAACGAGAGACACAGGAAAAAATAAGGGAAAGAAAGAATAGGATAATTAATTATTTTTTAATTTTTAATTGACCATCTGGGGCTTTTTAGGCACAAATATTAATATAACAAATTACAAGAGAAACGATTAGTAGGATATTCTTTGTAATAAGGAGATTTCGAAATTTTTAATATAGCAGTGATACATTACTTGTCACGGATAGTCGCGCAAAGAGAAGAGCTCGCACAGTATCACAATGATGCTTTTATCCGATACAATATGAAATACACTCTTACCGTATAGAATATGGGAAGAGCTGCTTTCTCGCGAGAGAATAAGTTTCTATATTCAGCACGCGATACGACCCACGGCGTGCACCAACGATATATCGTTAGAGAAATGATTACTGGCACACATAACGGAACGTGCTATCGCCGGATTAAAAGCTTCCTTCGCGCGCGCACTAACGAACAGATAAATCTTTTACATCTGTATATATCTACGATATGATCTTACCGCCTCTAACACACACCGTTACGTTATATATTACCGTATGGCTAAAATAAACGCAACGCGAAAGGCGACACGGAAGGGGTGGTCGCGGTTTTTGCTCACGACGAGCCGTCAGCTTTAACGATCGCGTAGGAGAACCGTCCGGGCGCGTCCTGATTTCATTAACGGTTTTAAATACGACCACCGGTAATTCTAGCTCGCGGTGGAACGCGACCGTAAACCGTCCTGGAGAAAACGAGAAACAATTTCCATGATTAAGAGGATAAACATTTACATTTTTGCAGCCTCCTCTCCCCCATTTTACTCGTAATTGAGTTCCATAAATCACTAAGTACTCTCCCCCTGATTTATTCAGTCTGCAAACCTTAATTCTCCTGGTAGATTTTAGCATTTTATACAGCCACGGTTGACGTAACTTTATATAGCAGTGACATTAATTGCGATGTAGATTCGACATTATGACGGCTCCGCGTCATTCGAATTCCCTGAGGATTAATATAATCGCAGTGAATTCTACATATCATACAGTGCAGAAATGTAATAAGCGAAGCGTTAAATTTTCGGATATATATAGCCAGCAAATCTGATGTAATAATTCGCGCATGACCTGTCCGCGTAATAGACGGTATCGTGCCACTTTTTTCAGTAATAAATAATTCGCGCAAATTGAAAGCTTCTTTGTAACGTTTCCGTTTCAAAGCCTAACTCCGTAATCTGATTAAGATGAGCACTTGTCCCGGCTATCATTAATGCGCCTCTGACTGCGACAGGCGACTAGTTGGATATTCCGCGTATGATACACCCTCCGTAGAGTCAAGCTCTGAAGTATCACGAGTATCACAACGCCAAGTCGTTGGGAAACGCTTGCGAATGATAGATATACGATGCACGAACGCACCATATATTCAGGTGTGCGCCGGATAATCTACTTTTCCTTAATTTATCTTACTCACACGTAACTCAACGGGCGCAACCGCGATCGTGCAGTCGCACGGATGACGGGTGCGCACGTGTGCAAGATACGACACTTGCGCCACGTATTAAAAACTATTGTCGGAAAGTTAAAAAATAATTATTTGTTCCAACTCTTGCACAGTGATGTACATTTGGCTGAATCGTTCTTTGAGAATTCAGTAAGGCTATATAAGGTCCACAGCCTTGCTTTAAGAAATCTTAAGTCATAAGTCGAAAGAGATTAAGTGATAATAATTTCTGTCTTTAAACTATTTTTGCACAGTCTTTAGGCTTTAACCGTTAGAATTAAGCGAATTGAGCAAAACCTAATTCTTACGGCCTAAAAGCATAAATTCTATGACCAATATATCAAAATAGCGCAAAAGTCCTCCATTTTCTACTTACTAATCGTATCATGTACTAATAACATTAAGCGTTTATTAGTCTACAGGCCACTAGGTCCAAAATGGCGGTCGAAATAGCTAATGGACAAGTTCGGCATTTCGACTCCGATAAAAGAATTGTGCTACCTATACCTTTCCCCACTCTTTGTTCTCTCTTCAATCTTCTCAGCTCACCGGAAAGAAGCAAGAGTGCTTCCCTAATTATAAGTCATTGATTCACTTTTAGAGAGTAGACGTTTCTCAATATCTGTCTCCTAGATAATACGAGCAAATAATTGTGAAATAATAACACGTCTACCTTTTTAGAAAATATAGAAAAAATAATGAAACTCTAAATTAAATTATATAATTAAATTAATTAAATTGTGTAATTAAGTAATGTAATTCAATTAATCGCGTCTCTCGAACCATCGCCGATCACATTTCATACGTATGCAACGTGTATCGCAAATATGTGACTGATCTAAACAGGCGTATTCGTTTATTATTCCGCATCATTCGACACTCGACAATGACATGCGGCGTCCGACCAGAATAATAACGCGAAATCACATCGATTCCGAACAGGTGCAGGTACTTTGTGCGCACTGTCTATGTGACGTCACGTCTAGTCCCGCAACGCGCCGTTGTCTATGCTCCATTCGATTCTGTACGGATCGATCGGGGATATCTATAAACCCTCGGCTTACGAACGTGCATAAATCGCATTCCATTCGCGTTTGCGTGCAGCACGCACCGTCGATTCACCATCCTGCGGCCGACGACTGACAACGACGTCGCAACCGCATCGTCAGGTTGGTATTATTAAACGATTCGGGATCCGCAAACGGGCAATGGGTACAAATTGTACTCGCGGGTTGCAGACATGGCCCACGTAAAATGTGTCCTACGTGAACGGCCCCAATAACGCCGTTGCTCACTACGTGCAGGTTTTATTAAACGCTATATGCTCGAACAATATCGCCGAAATATAAATTGTCCCCATCGATTCTGCGGACAAAATGTGTAGAAATAGTCGAAATTAAATTGGGATGATGATAGGATTTACCTAAATATCGTTTTAATGTATCTATTCCCCGGACGATATGTATGCCGTGTAAAATCGCCTCGCAATTCATTTCCGCTAAAAAGCTTCGATAACCGTTCGCACACGCATACACGCGCGCATATTTTTTCGCAGTTACACAAATTCCATCCGACAGTTCCCTTCGGTGACGGAAAGCGGAACCCGATGCACACCGTTTACTCTGCACCGTTTATTCTGTTACGTGTCAGTTGTTACCGAATAACGGATGAATGTTTTCTCGAATACAGTTTTCACGATGCCCCGGCTACTCTACAAGGTAGATATCACTCTATCTGTTATCAATATTAAATCGCGTTAACCCTTCACACTGGGTCTTTTTTTATCTATAGGCGAAATTTCACTCTCAAATTTCTTAGCAGAAATTTTCAATTGTTACTAAGGATGTTTTATACATATTTTCAAAACGATAACAAAATTGTGAAAAAATTACAGATTATTCTAAATTACATTTAAAAATAATACGACAAATTTGGTGACGGTTTACTATCTGGATCATAAGTTATTTTAATAAATAGCAGTATTTTTTTAATCTGTGCTCTAATAAAAATATATGGAAATTTATTATAAAATAAATGATAAAAATCTCAATTTTTTAATATAAGTACATTATGCATTCAGGATTATTTACATAGAGTTACATCGTCATGCATGAACTAGTTGTCCAGGAAATAAACAAAATATTTATTTGTTCTATATCTTTGTAACTAATCAGTGAATTGCAATGAAATTATGCATAAATTATTTTTAATATTGAAAGTACTTATAAAAGAAAAATGTAAATTTTTTTGTCGTTTTTAATATTTAAATTTTTAACAATAAAAATAATTACAAATAAATAAACTACAAAAATGTGTTATTAAACAAAAATGTAATCTTATTCACACAACTTTCATATGTGTATAGTTTGTTTGAAGTGTAAATATTAAACTTCCAAATTTAATTTCCTTTGCAGGGATTGTACATCTAATACATTCTTAATTAAAGATTTTAACATTTGAGTTAAATAACTATTTGGCAATGTATGAGAGATGTTGAAAAGTAATCCCGAATTTTCTAAATTTTTTGAAAGCCTAGAATAATAAAAAAATTTGGGTTGGGGATAAAGAAGACCCAGTGTGCCTACGAAGGATTAAGGATGGATACACTCTTCATCGCCATTCTATTAGACTAGGTCCACAATCTTGCTTTAAGAAGCCTTAAGTCATAAGGCGAAAGAGATTAATGCTCGGTCCACAACCTTGCTTTAAGAAGCCATAAGCCGTAAGCCTTAAGAAATTGACTAATCACAGATAAATATGAGAAAAATAATCGACTGTCAATCGATTGGTCAATTTCTTACAGCTTATGGCTTACGGCCTCTTAAAGTAAGTAACTTAAAGCATTGTAAGTAAGACGATCTCGGTCACAGAACTTATGCTTTTAGGCCGTAAGAATTGGGTTTTGCTCAATTCGCTTAAGTCTAACAACTAAAGACTTCGCAAAAACAGTTTAAAGACAGAAATTATTGTCACTTAATCTCTTTCGACTTATGACTTAAGGCTCTTAAAGCAAGATTGTGGACCTAGCCATATCGTCACTTACAACTTAAAGCTTCCGGTTTATGGCCTCTTAAAACAAGGTTGTGGACCTAGCCTTACAGTTGTAAGAGAAAAGCCGCTTTCTCTCTCTCTCTTCCCCCCCTCCTTATTCTCCTCGAACCATCTCGTTACGATGGAACGACGCCATAGTAGTCCGGCAATTTGAATAGCACTGATTGACTCCCCATTATTATCGCCCGACTCTCCGTTAACATGATAATACGCATTAGGATGGTGCCAAACCGTACGACTCACTCGACACCCTCCCTGTTCTCTCCCATTGCAATCCCCGTATATCTGTGCACAAATATGCACGGTAGGAACATCGGAGAGGATGCATCCTGCCGTTAAGAGAAGCAGACACGAGAGCGGTTGAGACCGAGTACGCCTTCGACGTTCGCTATGTGTAAATGTTTACCGAAATGGTCAACGACGCCAAAATTATCGTGAGTCAACCTTAACGAGCCGGTGGACCTTTGTTCGCGATAACGGTTGGCGTGTAAGTCCCATCACATGTAAGATCCAATCACGCAACCAAGACGGATTCGAAATCGAAGGTTTTTCGTTGTAAAGGAATTTCTATTCTTAATTTTTATGTTTTAATCATTGTCATATTATTTATAGAAAATTACGAACATGGCGACTGTTCTCACGTTGGAATTAATTACAATCTACAATCTACAAAATTGTGATATTACAGAGAATATTTTATCCTCTGTATTAAATTTTTGATAATATTTTGATAATATTCAATTATTATACTTCATGTCCATATAGAGTAGAGTGGGGCTATTCCGTCATTTTAACCTTAAAGTAAGATAAAATTTATGGCAACAAACAATATTTTTTTGCAGTAACGTGATTATAACTATCTTATACAATTATGATTACTTCTTCATAGTACAAGTGCTCCTTTAAATGTTCAGTATACGCTGCTCAGAGATATAAACAATATCTTGAGAAATGGACGAAATAGCCCCGTTCTATCCTAGATTATTCAGAAAAATTGATGCTGATTTGTCGGCATGTATTAAAGCAAGATTTAATATTAAAAATGTTATATGTTTAATATTAAAAATGTTATTAATATTAAAAATGTTACATATTGTGCTAATACTCTACTTATTGGTAACATCAAAAGATGAAATTATTAGTTGGTGTTGTCTTGATTAGGTACTGAACACGCGTAATATGGTCAAACTAGAACATGATACAGTTGCATGCAATACGGTAGTGCACGTAAGCAGGGATCGTTTACAACCCTTTGGCATATTACAGGTTAATATATTAAATAGCGAATCATATTCAGGTTTGCAAGCAATTACAGTCGCAATCCGTATATATATTATAAACAACATACAAATTTATCTTAATGCAACTCATAATTAATTCATTTGCACATCTAAAATTCTCGTCTACGAAAATATTGCGCCGTTCATTTGCATGTAAAAGTAAACTGCGGTAAATCACACGAATCATAATAAATTTCAATAAATTATTTCGCCGTTACACATTGTAACACATAATTATTTCGAAAATTCTTTGTTATAAATTAGGAATTACTTTTAGCGTAATAGTAAATAAACTATATTTACGACTTCTCAAAGTGTTCATTCACCACTACTATCTCAGATTGTGACATCAGAAGCGTGAAAATACACAATAAAAATTCTTATAAAATTTACTAATACGAAATTATACATATTTCCGTAAAACAATATTTATAATTTACAGAATTGACTTGTAAAATGTACCGAAAATTTTATTTCGTTATTATTAAATAATAACTGGAAATGAATTATGTATGAAGTATGTATAACCAAAAACGAAATAAAAGCTATACGTTTGTAGCTTTAACCAACTGTCAAATTAATTATATAAAAATAATTTATGGTAATTATTTAATAATATTTCACATTATTATTTGTGATACAATAATTTAAAATATGATTTAATTTCTCTCCAAAATACGAAGATTGTTTTTATGGTATACGTTATAGTAAGTCTATTCTATCGATAACAAATGTTGTTTTATTGAAAAATATTTCTATTTAAATCTAATTTGCAAGAATTTTTATTGTGTTTTTTCATTTCTGACGTTATAATCTGAGATAGTATGACGTCATAATCTGTGTGAGTAAACAGGGAAACCCCTTAGCACTTTCTGATTATTTATGTACTCCGCAATTTGCAAAATGTGTAAACGTGATTATATCATGATTTTCTGTCGACCGCAACGTACAGATATCTATCTGTTGACATTGCATCACCATCGGCGACAGAATCGTATAACAGCTCGTGCACGTCACACTAACGTGAAATGTAACTAATTAATGTCTCTGAAACTATATCACTCTCGACACGCGTGCGATCTCTAGATGGAGCGTGACGGGAACGTGCAGAGTCGGCTGCGGCCGAGGAAACTCTGACAAGGAAACTCAGACTGAAATCGTAATATCGTTGTCCGCGTCGGAAGATTCCAACATGCTAATCTCTGCCATATATGTGCGCAAAATCATACATGTCTAATGAATACATCATCGTCGATAATGCACCCTCTCGCCTACAACAACGGATATTCTTTTATATATCGATGTCGGCGTGCAGTTACGATTATCCTGTTTCTTCATAAATTAATATAATGTAAGAAAATAAAGAGAACTATATAATGCCATTTAAAATATCAAGGTTATTGTAAGTTAATGTTTTTTTAAAACTAAATTAAATTAAAGTTAATGGCTTATAAAATTAATAAAATTAAGTTAAAAGTTGAAGGAATAAAAAATTAACTTAAGTTTAAAAAAAAGTTAATTTTGAAAAAACTTATTTTTATATATGATAAGATTATATATGATAAGATGCGTCTACTTTAATCCTGTAAAAGGTTTTTTTATTCCGTTCAATCAATACGAAGATTTTTATACGACTGTGATAATTTGATCACTCCAGCATCCTCTTCAGAGAAATAGAAAAATTTTTAATTTAAAAAAGTTAATAAATTAAAGAGTTTAAAAGTAACTAAATTAAGTTTAAAGATTAATGCATTTAAAATTATATTAACTTTTTAACTTTTTTTTTAACTTTTAACGTTTTAACTAGTTACACATACTACCCAATCCTGTAAAATATACATAAACGACTGAATAATTATAACAACAGTGGAGTATCGTTGACGTAACACACTGAGTGCTAGATTTGTAAACGAAGGATCCCAAGTTTAAAAAAAAAAATCTCGATAGACTCCGTTAATTTTTCCACCAGTCCCTACACTAATAAATATATAATATTATATGATTCTAGACATAAGCAACGTCTGATGACGATCGACAGTGATCTTGTTTTCAGCGAAAAGTGACGCATCATGAAGAAGAGAGAGGAGGAAACGATGGTGAACATGTAAGTAAGTGCCACGTACACCAGCGGATGTGCATAATACTTACCCAGAAAGAGCATACGATCGTGTAGAGGATGAAGGCTAGTAACGGCGGAGCGAGGGACAGAATGAGGTACGGGGGGTGGGTTAACAACGTGATCACGGTTCAAGCACTCCCGCAGGATCGTCACATCAGCTGGTCGACCTACCCATTTTCACTATTCGCCATCCAGCCTCTTCTCCATCCGGTATTTTGCTCCTCCCTATCCCCCTCACCACGGGACACTCCTCATCCTCTCGCGTCAAGCGCTTTCCGGGATACACTCTTGCCGTGGTCTGTCAAGATACCTCTCTCTTCCCTCGCGATTTGTTTCCATCGATGCATGCATGACGCGCGTATATGCACGTGCGAACCTGCCATGTGCAGATCGCCGGTCGTCGATTAACAGCCTCGTGCAATACACAAGCGAAACATCTCGCCGTATCGCGAAAACGCTCGTGTTTCGAAAAATGCCCTCTACCGATTTCGCGAATCGTGTTTTTCGCGATGTTCCTTTTTTCCCCATTTCATTTTTTTCCTCACTTTATGTCATGTCGTTTTTTTTTTTCGTGCAAAATATCGCTATTCTTGTCTCGAATTTTTCTATATGCGATAGCAATAACAGTCACCTCTGCTCTGGTTGATGAGCACCCTGATCGTTAGCATTAATCACGCACATTAATTAACTCTTAAACGCCATACCACAGAAACAACACATATAATATATACTAGTATATATATAGATGTAGCAGATCCTAATTCGATTGCTTGTAACTTTCATTAAAAAATGAACACATATTATTGTGAAACATTTTTTTCAATCAAACCATCAAACATTAAGAGACATAACTGTACCAAGCAAATGTATGTATATTTTTATTAATAAAAATGTTGTAAACAATTAAAGAAGCATTGGAAAAGAAGTGAATATGTCATGCCGAAAAGATTTTTAAGATATTGGAATACTTGATAAAAGATCGCATTAACGAATTGTATGTGGGAGAGAGGCGGTAGAAAAATTCGCCTCTGCTACACGATGATAAAGATTCGCAATTTTTCTGACGTAAATATCAAACATTAATAAATCGCACGACTTGAGCTCTGTTGCCTATTAATTCTTATCAACTATGATTTTGTTCTGCATCGATTTTATGAGTATTATTTCTGGAAACCTCGTTACATAAACATCCATTTTGGTATTAGACATTGTTTCACGTTCAATGTACTACAATACAGGGTGTTTCCAAATTAAATCGCAAAACTTCGGGAGCGTGTAGAGGAGTAAAAAACTAAGAAAAAAAGTCCTATAGACATATGCTCGTTTTTGCTCCGTTTCAGAGAAATCGAAAAAAAATGTTTTTTTTACCTGCAAGATTAAATGGGGACCGTTTTCTAAATTTCTTGGAGAATGAATTTTCTGACTATTTAGAAAACATCCCATTACAACAACGTACTGAAATGTGGTTTCAATTAGATGGATGCCCTGCTCATTACAGCAGAGTCGCTAGAACCTGGTTAGATAGAAAATTCCCACAACGATGGATTGGACGTGGAGGAGCAGTACATTGGGCAACTCGTTCGCCCGACTTAACGCCATTAGATTTCTATGCATGGGGTACTCTGAAGCAAGAAGTTTATTCTTCGCCTATTCAATCAGAGCAACATTTGAGAAATCGTATCGTAGCTGCAGCGAACAGAATATCGCAAGAACAGTGCCTAACCTATTTCTTATATTTCTCAGTTACCTATTTTTTATATTTGCCATTTTTTTCATTTGATCGTTATGTCTAATGCAACATCACGAATACTATTTCTTCGTTTTTGGTAACTAATTTACGGCGTTTTATTATATTATCTAAAGATGGCTCAATCCAAGAGCCGAAGCATGTAATATTCAGTATTTTAGTGTATGTACATATATTATAATAATATGTATATATACGAAATTTAGTGATATATCAATAATTCTTCATACTTAATTTTTGTTAAAATCAACTCTTATTTGCTCTGTTCTATCATTTTATTGTTTTTGAAAAGTCTTATTGTTTTTATATGATTTTATATTTGCGTAATAGGCGCACATATGTTTGCTCGGCATTATGCGTAAACATAATGAAATAATAATGGCTCATGATTTTCATCATCGTAAACACCATAGCCTGTGTAAATAGTTTATAATGAAATTTCTCTATCGGTTTATAAACTGGCGGAGTTTGCTGGTTTACATTATAATTGACCTCATTATTATCACTGCCAGGTATTAAGAACCATTCGCAACGGGCCAACGTTTTCAATCCGAAAGTACGAGCGGAATTTTCTCATGGTACTCCGGAAGTATCCTGCACACCGACCTCGCGAATGCAATTTCATTAGTCTAATGGATTTCGATGCTCGAGACTGTAATCTGTTATTTTTTGCGTGCCGCAGTACGGAAAATTGGATAATTTATGGGTTTGAAGTAATGAAAGGGAATTTAACGTGCGGAGGAAAGATCTACGCTCGTGGGACGATCCGATAACTTTAAAAATTGAATCGGACTTTGTGTGAAAGTGGAAAAATAGGAAGGAAAAAAAAGAGGAAAGAGGAAGAGGTGAGCACCGCGAACGGCAGAAACAACTGGATGGAATCCGGACTATTCAAGAACAACGCAATTACTCTATCACAATAGACCTGCGGATTACGAGTTCTCTTGGCACGGCATCTTGTAGAATCGAACAAACTCGTAAGGTCGAAGGAGGAACGTTTCCGATCCTTTTACCTTTCAATTAATCGTTCGAGAATATTGGAACTTTTCGAACGCTCTTTCCCATTCGTACGCTCTTTCCCACATGCGCACTATATTACGAATTAATCTTAAATGAAAGGACGCGCGATTTTGAAGTTACGTATTGCGTAATGAATATTACATAAAAATTCATATGAATGTTTTTAATACTTCTATTTATAACGGTATCTCTTACGTATACATGCATGTGTATATACATATGCATGTATTGGTTTATATTAACCATGTAATTTGGAATTTAATTGCGTTCTGGTGACGCTAACGTTGGCCACAATCGCCTTTTACATATTTTACCGCTTTCGTTAATTAAGCCCGGCGCGCGTGCGTACACGAGCACTGCGAATAAAACGAAATCTGAAATGTAGATTTCACCCACCCGCTGCTGTTATAACGCGCACCAAGAGAAATAATTTACTTTTTCAACAGCTTCGCGTATGTCGCGTCCAAGCTAGTTATACTGCCTTTTCACACAGAATTTCACAGCTCGTAAACATGGGAACGAAGCCTGTGCGCGTGGCTGTCGGTTAATTTAGGGCAGGTTCACGATGCGACGTTCTCTGAGTGCGTGCATGCGTGCGTGCGTAGGATCGACCACGACCGATCGTGTTCCATGCACACGTTATTTCAACGCTTGAATTTTTAGTACCGTTTCTGCCGCGTTCACGAAAGTTAAACTCCCCGGAAACTGTATCTGGAAAACGATCGACGTGCCGATCGTCAACGTTACGAACCATCGTACGGTGTTTTGATTAAAATTAAAATCGGAGAGTTTAACACAAAAAAAGCGACAAAATATGAAGTTTTATGCTCAGCAATTTCTAATTGTAAAACGCGTATTAGTAATACAGTGATTCGTAAATGAAAGATTTTGTCGAATTTATTTCATTTATTGATCAATGATTATATTTAATATTTCATTTGATTCCGATTTGATTGTTTTAAAAGTTGTAGGTGGTTAATTATAATCAAGAATAACATTATGATTCAAATAATGTGATTTTAATAATAGCGCTATAAAAAGACGGAACAATTAGCAGCTTCTTTTTTTCTTCTTTTTTTCTTTGGGCTATTCTCCTTTTAATCCAACCGCCAAACTTTCTTATAAAATAAAGTTTGTTATATCGACTATATATATATATTTTTGCAATAACGTGAATAACGTAATGCATTATTAGATTTAGAATTAAGCGTGATAGAGAGAAATCTGACAAACAGGCCGGTATTCTGCGCTGATCGATCCTGCGTGTCCTGCTTAAGTGGAGGATGTCGTTTTGCTGAAACCACACAGAGGGTGATCAAACTCAGCAGAGACTAACGGAAGGAAAATCCGCTACAGTACACGGTATGGTACATTATGTATAAGAGCTCGTAATAAGGAAATAAATCGCCCGCCTTCTTCAGCGAAACGAAAAATAATTCTCTTCTCTTGCTTCTCCACTAACACGTAGATTACGGAAATTATATCAGCGATAAAACGAAAATTACGCTAACATTTAAATGTAGTATCATAACCAGCAGAGTTTTCGCGCATCAAATATTTTCTTTCCCAGGTTTTAAATTCTCTCTCATAAAAAGTAGAATTTACGAAAAAAGACTGACGGGGAGCGGAACTGCGCAATGAAATTAATGAGAGAGAGTATGGACGGAAAAGGGACAAATTACTTTTCTGGCAGACGTTCCATTTCACGCACAATTTAACCGCGCGATCTCCGTAAAAGGCGTTTGCATGATTGCTTTGCTTGCAATATAGTTGAAAAGAAAACGATCAACAGCCGGGAACGGAATCAGGCAAGCGCGTCACCCCGCTTTTACCTAATCACTTTTGTGATGGCTCGATTAATCTTTCTGATGAAATCTGAACTGTTGCTTAAGTCGAAAATGTTTGAATAAACGTCTTCTTTACAGAAAATCGAGGAGATTGGGCGAGCAATATTCCTAAGCTCTACGATCATTTTATTTTGCAATCAATTATAATCGCGTAATCGATATACATATGAATTCCAATAAAACGGTACAAGGTATCTAAAAAATTATATAGCGATAATTAAATAAAGATTAAAATTTTAAAACCAAAAATATATAGACATATAGGAGTCACAAGAAATTATTAAAGCAGTTAAAAAATATATAACATATGATCTCTACATGTAAAAGTAACAGGTTTACAATGATTGATAAAATTCGCGAGATAATCGCTTGAATAATTTCTTAGCACACCGAAATCCGCTCTTGACTCCTATATGCCTATATATTTTTGTTTTTAATTCGATTTGTCAGGAGTCCGTTTTTGTTTATTTTAATTAAATTTTACATAAATATTTAAAATATCCCTATTTCTTCCTATGTAAGAAATGATCGTCATGTGGCTAACGTAAACGAAAAAGTAAGTAGGTATAGTGACACAGATTGTCAAATTTTTAGCAACGATCATTACTTGTAACGATCACATTGCCATTTCCCTTCTGCTGTTTATTCAAAGTCATCTACGAGAGAATTACTTTAAGTAGGTCGTTTAAAGGGTAGAACTCGCGGCCCAGGTAAATCTAGCGTAAATTTTTAACTTGTATAAATGATTACAATATTTCACAGATATTTCTTTCTATTGATTTGATGCAAAAGTCCGTAATTAATTTCTCGTTATGCTGTGTATTGACTATTGCTTACGCAAACCTGAGGGCAGTATCCTTTGACGTGCCACTACAGGAAGTGCTTTATCAAAGACGTAGTCTTCATGACGTAGTCGACGTGATTGTCTACTATCGCATAAAGGAGTTTCTATCATTGTAAAAATCGCGAACTATAGATATGGAAGGCAATATCAAAGTGTTATTTATTCTTGCTCTGAAATCAAACACGAAGAAGAGTGGCAGAGCGAAAAGATATTAGAAAGAAGGACGTTAGATTTTTCAATTTAGCTGACGGTACATAAGACCAGCACTGGTTTACGATATTATCTTATCTTTGTGGATTGTGCTATTAGTCTGCGTTCCTAGCCGACAGTTTTCACTTTATCCTGACAGTTTTACTCCCAAGTTTATTTCTAACAGCTAGATGAAAGCGCTCTGCAGTTTTTCCTTTGGTTACACATCGCGTCTCCATCGTGCTGTTGACACGGCATTTAAATACTTGATTGCGTGCGCTTTTTTCCTAAACCCCTTCCTTTTCTTCCTTTCTACTCAGTACTCGCTCTCTCAGTAATCTCTGTCTTTATTTTTGGCCATCGCGAGAATCAGAGACAAGACGTGCACAGCGGTATAATGAAAATAAGCTAATTGCGCATGTTAAAAGCTTTTCCGGGTTAACAGTGATGAACTGCGTAACGAGTTTTGTGCCGCTTGCAGAGTTTGTTGTGCGATAATTTTCAATTTATTTTCGTAGATGTGTAGCAATTGTTAAATTAGCAATTAGAGCAACATAGTACGGAAGCAACAAGCTTAATACAACAATATAAGGAAGAGATAATATATTGTATTCATTTTTCCATAAAGAAAATTTAATTTTGTTTATTATATTTTCAAAACATTTATATACTGTTACACCGCAATAAAGATGTCGACGTGTGTCTGCGTTCGCTCAGTACGACGCGCGTATCACCATGTTATTTCGATAATGCTTTTAGAGTAATTTAGAGTCACGTCTAAAGGATAGCATGTAGCTTAGTTTCTGGTCCGTTAAAAATTACGGGGAACAGTCGGACACAGCGTGTCGACGTTCCAACAGCGTTCCGTGGGGATTTAACGGCTACCAACAACGAAGCTCGTTCATGGTTTGCCGCCCTCGACGGCGGTGATGGCGGCGGCGCGGTGAGTCATAGGCTGGTCATCCCTTTCACTTACTTTTCCAGCCATTCGACGTGGTTCCTGGTTGCGAGTACGCTGCAAATGATATGAGTAGTCTTGCTTAAAGTCATTAGATATAACAAAGTACCGACAATGAAAAAATGGAAGTGACTTTTTAGTGTAATGTATTTACATATTAAATGCAATTCTAATCTCATTCTGTTAGAATCCTTATGCGGGGTTTACAATAGAAGTTGTAGCGGTCGTAGAGTCTTAAGTCGTAGAAAATTAATCAATCACAGTGGAATATGAGAACAATAATAGACTATGATTGATAAATTTTCTACTACTTAAGACCTTACTTCCATTGTAGATCCCATTTCCATTGTAGTATTATACTCATTTGTGACTTCGTGTAAGGAAGTTAGAACTGCTTAGAAAACATCGACAAAAATACCCGGTTGCTGTATTCAGAATTACAAAAACCGCAGTGAAAGAGCTTTTCGTTTATTTCGCTTGCCAACAGGCGACAGATGTAAAGAATGGCTTCAATTAATTAGCAAAGAAACATAGAAAGGGCTGTAATCTGTGAGGTATAATTTTTTATCTGTAAGGTTTTATTTTCCCTTATAATATAATACATTCATAACATAAGTTTTGAATAACCGCGCGTCATGGAGCCAAAATGGCAGTAGTTTGCGGTACTTTGTTATCTAGTGAGTCTCTTTAGTCTTGCTGAGATAAACTTCTGTCAGAGTGGGAGATCATTTCCTACATCATGCAGATTACTTTAGACAAAGCAACAAGATCCTTGAGGAATTACAGTCGAGATGTGAATATTTTAGTTTAATATTTTTATGTATCGCAGCACGTATCATGCACGATCAAGGAATATTGTTTTCTCTCGTTACCGATTTATCATTTGTGTAATTAATTTGTTCATACTTAGAATAGCGACAAGAAGATCAAAAGTCGCTATTTTGTAAATTAATCTTTCGTGATTTTCTAATCTCGATGTAGATTTTACACCATATGTTTTAAAGTCGTGATAGCAATTATCTTTTATTTAGCATCTCATTGATAACGAATTATTAGGATTAAATGCTTATAGGTTTCTCTAAAATCTTTGCTTCATATTGACAGTGATTATACGAGAACCAAAAAAGATTGTTATGAACGAATGACCAATGCAAATCAATGGAAAATCGCTTGATCGGCAAATAATGCGAACGTTGCGCAGCTGCGCAAGGGTGATTCAATAAAAATAATGCTTTAACGAAAATGTATTTCGAGACCGACAGAGATAAAAAAAAAGGGTAGAACGAGGCGTGATTTAAAATTTAAATGTGTTCGTCGAATCCGCGTTCGTGTAAAACAAGTCAATGGTCGTTTATTTGGCCGCGCGCGCGACCGATAAAATTTCACAGTCGAACGAAACGAATCGATATGCTTATATTTACATCGACGAAGTGTTATTAAGGAGTAATTAGATTATAGCTGCATATTGCGCATTATACATCATAGCGGTATTACCGTTTCGACATTATAACTCGTGATCAAAATAGTCTCATTTGAGGAGATCATGAACTATAAACAATATGTATCGATACTAAGTAAAATAATATGTGCAAGAAAAGTTTATGATTTCGTTAAAAAAGTGTAATCGCATTGATACAATAATTTCCTGTAAAAAATTAATCAATATCATTGCACTTTTTGGTTCAATCATAAATTTTTTTGCACATATTATTTTGACAAGAATTGATGTAAAAGTATAAGAATTTTCCACAGAAAATTCTTTTATTTCACTAAAATTAATTGAAATAAGATTAAAATGCTGACTATTGAAACATTTCTAGAAATTATTTGAAAGCGAACAATGACAGTCATAATATTTGTCGTAACAGTCTTAACGCCATTCAACATGATAACAGTCTTAACGCCATTTACGCTCACGTTCGCATGTTCAACTATGAATTTCCACGCGGTTGCCTGAAACGGATACCTAACGGATACCTCTGTTTCAGAAAGGATGTCCGACTTCCGGTACAGTACCAACGAACTGTGGCCATGAAGGCGGAAGCTACGAGAGAAGCTATACAAGGCCAAAGTGATTACGGAAAGAGGAGAGATGCGAGCATCCCTGAAAGAGGCCAGCGACGTCATTTCCACGAGTCTTGCTGCATTGCAGGTACGCACATATACCCACTGGCATTTTGTCTCTTGCGACCAGATGCCAGTGCTAATTATTAAATACCGCTAATTATCTACTATTATACATTGCTTCCATTTATCTCCATGCTTTGTTTTATTACTATTGAATCTCGTATCTCTTGTAACGCTCAGAAATATATTGCTGTATACATATATTTAAAATTACTCGTTAATCAGAGCACTGTAACTAAACAGACCCGCAAAAATCCTTTTTTAATTACCGAAAAGAATGTAAGTGAATGCGATATAAAATTGAATGAAACGATAAGCTTAATTACCGCACTCGTTCCGTAGATTCTTTTCTCAAAAATATTAAACAATTTTTGCTGTGCAAATTTTATGCATAGAACGAAATGAGAGGTTTTATTTGACTATTTATTTTATTTACAGCACGACACGTGACGCGGTTAAACAAGAATCCTCGTCCGTGGATTGGGTGTTATAATTAGAAGATAATATGTAGAGAAAAAATTCGTCATATTTCTACTTTTTCCGGTAGCTGCGATACCGTGAACAACATATGGAGCGAGAGGAATT